GTTTCATGAAACAACTTTTCACAGCTTTCTGAGCTTTATAAGTGGTTGAGTCACATCTTAAGAAGCAGAAAAAGCCGATTTCTTGACTGCGGAGCAGAACGAGTAATTTTCAAATGGCTGTAAAACGCTGAAAAGAAAACATTATGAAATTGTTTCTTTTCTGTATGTAAACTTTTACTGTGTAAATTCATTTTATGTGAAAAAGTATGGAAACTTATGTGAGCAAAGTGTCGGTGCCAGCTCAGCTGGCAGCCAGCTGGCACGGTGCCAGCTAATTCAGAAAAATGTTCAGCACAGCTTTCATTCACATAAGTTTTCATAAATTTTTGGGCCATAGTTCGGGTGCTCCAACACGCATGCACACACCAAATTTGGTGTCATACTATTGCGTTTTGGCTGAAAACAACGCCTTTGTTTTTTTGATGGACAGCATGCGGTGGCATGCCGGCGGCATTCTTGCGGCTCTTCTCCGCCCCGGACCCCGAAAAAACGATGCCCCTTTGCTTTCCGCCCTAAAAACGATATCCAGCTCGATCCGGTGCCAGCTGTGCCGAGCCCTGTTTTGGAGCCATCATGCGAACTTTTGCATCGGAATTTTTTTATGAACTAGCTGGCAAACCCGGCTCCGCCCGGCCCTGTCAATAATATATTCGTAATCAGCATGCTCACTTACACCCCTTTGCCAACTCCTAGCCCCGTAGCTCTAAATTTTTGAGAATCGATAAAATCGATATCGATCAATGACGAAAAGTAGCCTATGACACCCGCCCCGCGCCGAAGTGTATGTGTGCCATGTTTGGTTCGGATCGGTTCAGAAATAAAAATTTCTATTCGTACATACAGACAAACAGACATTCAGCTTTATATATAAGATGAATAAAAGCCTGATATGATTTTCCATGCTCGACCATCCTTGAATCTTGGCATTTTATGTTCAGTATAGGTTAGTTCTCAGTATGTTAGTAAGCGTTCCAAGATTGTTATCCGTTTATCAATATAACGTCAATACAGCAAACAGGTCGACGTTTCGGCAAGGTCAAGACCTGGAAAGTGAGTCAGTACATTCGACGCTCCAAGGGTAGACACACCTTCAGCGATACACTTCAAATGGCTGTCCACCACTCTGACACTTAGTCAGGCCACTATATGCTAACTCTTGTTATGGGACGAGCTCACTACTGATAGCCATTTTCTCTTCCTTTCTGTTCAGTCTGGGGCATTTGGACGTGATCCAACAAGCCTCTATGGTCTTTCGTGCTGCAATGTCGGTTTCTTTCGAAAGGATAGCAACGTTAATTTGAAACTCTATGTCCTGATGGCAAAGTACACGATGTGCTGATATATACATTGATGATACTATCATCGTGTGTCCAACACAAGCGGAAATGGATCTATGCTTTGACATACTCAATGCTCAATCAACTGACATCAAATTCACAAGGGAAACGCCTAAGCAGGGATGGTTGCCATTCCTCAATGTCCAGATCTGCTTATGCAGAGGAGAGTACAGAACACGCTTGTATAGAAAATCAACCAATAAGAACATACTTGTACATTACTCCTCTGCACACCCAATTCAAATGAAACTTAGCATTATCAGAAACATGCTGCGAACGTCAAAAGTGTCTTCAAATAGCACTCTAGAATCCGCATCGACCAAAAGGCTAGCCAAATTGCACACGCAAACGGTTACCTGCTGTCGAAAAACGAAAACACAAACGTTCGTCACAAGGATAATGCTACAGTTTTCAATGATGTCAGTTGCGAAAAGGTGTCATTCCTTATGCCACTCATATCGGATAAGTTAAGCGCTGCGATTAGAAACTGCGTTCATAAAACCGGCCTGCAAAATATGCTTAGAGTTGTCGAAGTCCCACCCCCAAAGTTCAAGCAGCGCCTGGTGCGTAACAGAGGTTACGATCCAGTCTGTTCAAAAACAGACTGTAATATATGCAATTCTAACAAACCGGGAGATTACGTGTGTCGTGGCGCTGTGTACTTGATATCTTGTAAATTGTGTGGGGAAGAATATATTGGAGAAACGGGAAGACCGCTGTATGTACGAATCAACGAACATTTGGACGGAATGAGAAAATCGCGAGTGTCCACGCCTCTTGGCGCACATCGTGTGCTTTGCCATCAGGACATAGAGTTTCAAATTAACGTTGCTATCCTTTCGAAAAAAACCGACATTGCAGCACGAAAGACCATAGAGGCTTGTTGGATCACGTCCAAATGTCCCAAACTGAACAGAAAGGAAGAGAAAATGGCTATCAGTAGTGAGCTCGTCCCATTCTTATCATTGTGTGGATTTGAGTCTGACCTTAAAAGGGACCTCATTCCATCACAAGAGTTCGCATATAGTGGCCTGACTAAGTGTCAGAGTGGTGGACAGCCACTTGAAGTGTATCGCTGAAGGTATGTCTACCCTTTGAGCGTCGAATGTACTGACTCACTTTCCAGGTCTTGAAAAAGGCGACCTTGCCGAAACGTCGACCTGTTTGCTGTATTGACGTTATATTGATAAACAAATAACAATCTTGGAACGCTTACTAACATATTGAGAACTAACCTATACTGAACATAAAAGCCTGATACTTTGCCATCACCCTTGCACCACTAGGTTAATAGACTTCGATGTATCGGAATAACTTCGGAGATAGAATAGAAGAAGTTTAGAAAGAAAAAAGTGAAACGACTCAAATGTTAACGATTTCACGTGACATGAACGACAAGACTATGAAGGTATGAAATGGCTCCACTTCATACATGCGAACACTAAAACTTGATAGTTGAAACTCTAGAAAGACAAAAGTTCAAGATATGAGCGCAATATGGTCACCCATCAATATTACTGCTGACCGAAAACAGCAAGACATTATGTTTGCTACGAAAAGTCTATCTGCTTTTCTAGTATGCTCACTGGTGTACGTATGGAAGAGAATTTCTTAGCTTGTATGGAATACATCAAGTCATCACGACGGTATTGCATGACTTCCTCTTCCTACTCTGTCTCTGCTTTAAAAGTACAACGAAACTTGGAGCTAGGGGCTATTGCTAACTGGGGAACTATCGGCACGTAGAAATTGTGCATTCATTGAGAAGTTTCGGAAAAAACAAGTTGTCAATTTTGGGAGCGGCATACGGGGCATATAAGATGCTGTAAGACGCGGATCTACTGAGATTCTGTTTTTTTTCTCAAGTTTATTCTAGGAAAGCAGTCTTTTTACATGGCATTATGGAATGTGAGGCTACACTGTAGCTCTTTCGGAGTCAACCATAATCTCGCAAGATACTAAATTCACATAAATGGCGATTTTTGAAGTGTTAGTCACCGTTGAGTTAACCGGACTACTGAGCCGTAACACCACTTCTCCCTTCGTTAAGATTGTTCGCGATAATGCTAGGTTGTGCAGAAGTTCATTCGTTTTTTTGAAAAATCATAACTTCTTGCTCACTCCACGTTGCACTGACTTAATTTTGCTAGTTAGAGGAACTCACATTATTTGTGACAGTTCCTTTGCTGCCCTTTGATAAGGGGTTGCTCTGGAGATGAAAGCAGGGGAATAAAATTACTTAATCTCGGTTAATCCAGGTTAGGCTGCCAAAAATTGGAAGCGATAAAATTCGAAGCAAGCAATGAAGTAATGGATTTAAAGTGGTTTTTTTCTCCTACTTCCACCTCAAAGACTAACCCTATTGAAGAGCAGCAAAGGTACCATAGCAAAGAGTGTGACTTCTAACTAGCAAAATTATGTGCAAATCCGTCGAGCAAGAAGTTATAATTTTTCAAAAATTGTGCGCACGAACTTCTACACCAATCTGATAATTTGAGTAGAGGGCCTTCACTTTGCATAACCTAGGTAAGGGCCCGTCAGAAATAACCAAAGTGGCAGTACTCACTAAAAAATCAATGTTGACTAACATACTGTTTTTTTGCTAATGTAATCTTGAATTTGCTAAAATTAGAGGCGTTTGTCTCTCTGTAGAACAGACGAAACACGATCAGGGCTCGGCACAGGTGGCTTGCAAAGCAAGCTGAATATCGTTTTTGGGGGAAAAAGCGAAGGGGATATCGTTTTTGCAGGAGAGCATAACGCTGTCTTTCGATCTGCTGCCGGCACGCTGCCGGCAAATAAACAAAGGGTTTGTTTACAGCGAAGTGAAGACGAAATGGCACCAAAATAGGTGTGTAGATGGGCAATGGGGAGTTGGGACAGTATGAGAGTATGAAAAATTATGAAAAAATTATGTGAACTAAGGGCATGGCAAACTTTTTTCGGAGTTAGGTGGCTTTCAAGCCACCTGGATAGCCACCTGAGGTGGCTTAGCGCAAACAAAGTCATATAATTCCTACTCTTCACCTAATTTTTTCAAATTTTTTACATAAAAGTAATCTACATCTAATATTCTACAAAACAGCTCTTGTATCTCCCCAAACTCTCTCCTCCCCGCCTAGTTATAGCCCTCCAAATTATCGGGTGGCAGCGGCAAAGCTGCTCCAAGCCCGCGGTGGTGCGCGGCGGACACAGTATGCCGCCAACCCGGAGAATACAAAAATCAGTAGTTCTTATTGTCTATTTATTATCGGTCTTGTATTCTATTTCATTCTTTCTGTTTTCATGATTTGTTCGTTAGCGTGTCAAGGGGGACGTCGTACTTTTATGGCGAAGTCAAGGGGGACTTCGTTTTTTGCATTTTCAACTAGCCACCTCGTGTCGAGCCCTGAACACGATGGCAGTTTTGGTGTACTCAAATTATGCTAACCTTCTAGGCTGCTCACATAAAGCCATTTCTTATCCTAGTCATTCTTTCACCTAGTCCAGAATGATCATCACCGATGAGAGAAACGATGATAGCAATCGAAAGGAAAAAGTGGAAGACAATCTCCAACAATTTGATTAATATCATAGATAAACGAATGCCCCTTCCAACAATATGGTTTGCAGCCGAGTGATGCTATAAAGGGTTTCGCTGTAAAATAGTCATAGTCAGTTCGTCAACTGTCCATGCCACGAGAACATGACTATAGACCTCTACTACCCTACTATTTTTACTACCAATTCTTGGGGCACATTTGTATCCGTCCCGTCCTTGACTATCTACAAGAGGATTGCACTACAATGGAGCAAATTTGCAAGAAGATGCAAGGTAGTTTTTTCGATTTTTCTGTAAGAGATAAAGCGCATTCTGTATGCAAATCAGTGGCCAGAAATAGATCTGACTTGATCCAGAACTGTACAGAACACTGCATATGAATAGGAATCATTTAAGTTTTTCGAATTTCATTGTGAGTGCTGACGAAAAAGCAAGCAAACCGGGGAGTAGGAAAGTACATTGGCAAGACCGCTGGTTCGCTTTAGATTCCTCCATAAAATTCACTCTTCTTTCCTTTCCTAATGAAAATTAGGATTTTAAGCGATAAAATTATCTTTGCTCTTTATAGCGAATAACCGGTAGTTATCTATGGCACAAAAGTAGTTTACAAACTAGCACAGCTGTCCCGTTAGTGCCGCGAATGCACAATGTGTCCAAAAAATGTGCACACTGTTTAATCCTCAATAACTCTCTTGCTTTAATGTCTTTAGCAGTTCTATAGGTACATTCTGTAGAGCTGGCTTCAACTTAGCTTTATAGTATGGAGCCAATCAGCAATTACTTTTCATTACTGCTGTAGGATTACAATAGGAAATTGCAGCATTTGTAACATAGAGTCAGGGCCCAGCACGAGGTGGCATTAATCTTGGAAACGAAGTCCCCTTTGACATTGCAGAGATTTATGAACAACGTTTTTGGACTTGTGGAAATACGGATTATGTTCTATAGAGGACGATGAATATAAAAGTGAAGGAAAAAGGAAGATTAGAGACAAAATACTAGAAGGCGAAAGTGAGGTGTCTTATATAATCAAATGCCGTAGCAAAGGAGCGGGAAACTTGGGTCAAAGTGAGTACTCATAGGCAGAGCTTGAGTCAAAGAATAGATTTAGGCTTCCAGGTTGCGCGGGAGCAACCTATAATAGAAAAACACTTACAATCCCTTCCATTCACATAATTTTTTCAATTTTTCACACTTTTCTTTTCACCGTCGTCGCGAAGCTATGTACCAAATTTGATGGCTCAATATTGCTTAGTAGCTGTGAACAAATTGAATGTTTATATTTTTGTCATAAAGATCATGTTTTAACACGTTGGATATCGTGTGCACACAGCTTCGTGCACTAGTCGTGTTTGTAACATGTTAATATACCTGGTACTGGTAAAATAACCATAGAGCCTTGAATTCGGGCCTACTTACAATAACAGTAAGAATTGTGCATATTTCATCAGAGCCGGAAATCAGCCCTCAAAACACTACGATTTCTCTTTTGCAAAAAAACGGCTTGCAGTGTGTAAAAGCGCGACCTCTGCTGAGGCCTGAGTGAAGTAGGGCGTCTGACATGGAGTAACAAGGTTTACAGGATGCCGATTTCACTGCACAACTTTTTTGCGAGTTTTTCTAGTTGCTATCACAATTCTGACGAACAGAAGAACAAAAAAACAGTTGTTACGATATACCTGAAATAACTCATGAAAGAAGCATTGAAGTGATGTACAATTTCTTTTTAATCATCGGCTTCGATTAGCCCGAAACAAGACTTTTTGACATGTTTGGCTTTCTTTCTGATGCAAAATATCGCTCTCAATGGCCTAAAATTGTTCTAGAAGTTCTACCGTAATCCTGCAGTAATGAAGTGTGATTAGTGACTCGCTCCATAATGTAAATCGTTCGATCTCACTTTGCAGTATGGTACTATAGAACAGGAAAAAACATCAAAGCAAGAGAGTTATTAACGATCAAACCGTTTGCACATTTTTTGGGACACACTGTATAATACACTTCGTAATTGGAAAAAAGGAAACTTGGAAAAATGAGATGAGGGTAGACCAAGATATTCTAAATCCACTCTTCTGGAGATGCCTTTCAACTCAATACAGAAGCACAGTTTACCCTAGGATTCGCATTGAATCAATGTACAGGGCTCCTAAGTTGCAGAGTCGTTTGCACCAGCGGTCGCGCGACCGCGCGCCCGGGCATCAATGGCGCCGCCTCGATCGATGGCGCCGGCGCCGGCAAAATGCCCGGGCGCGACGCGGTCGCGCGACCGCTGGTGCAAACGACTCTGCAATTTAGGAGCCCTGTATTCTTCATAAGGTAGATACATAAATGATGGTTTTAGACCAACTGCATCTCCACTTCATTTAATATTTGAACTTCCCGTTACCTAGAAATGGAACTAAGTTTACTTGGGATTCCACACCTCCCTACGCAGGGGAACTAAGGTTTAGTGCATAGTGACCGTACAAAAGGAGATAAAGCAACCATTCGAGGGTTTCCTTTCGGATATTTCCTTCAAAGGGTAGTATCGAATGGCACAGTTTCTTGTAATACTGTAGGTGTGTGAGCTTTTCGTACTACAAAATATAGATATCGTGGGGCTCTTTTCTGCCTACATAGTTCTACCTTAAAAGCTGGCTCCCCCAAATTCATTTGATCTACTAGTTCCAGTGTCAAGATAATTGCATAACATTCGCTCCATAAAAGAAAAGAGGCTAAAAGAGCCGCTACGATGCAGATTTTACGTTGCTAGGAGGTAGATAGAACTATTGCTAATACTAAGCAGTACAGTAAATACATTGCGCTACCGTAATCCCGATACGAGAATAGACGCTTGATACCCATAGCTGAAGAGTTGTTGTTTGATAAACACCAGTTTATCGAAGGATGAAAATTAACAATCTAGATGAATCAAATTGTTGTAATTATTCTTTGGCCACAGGCACCTGCATAATTACGAAATCTTCATTTATATAGAGTACATAGTTCGTGCAATGCAACATATGGAAGATGGTTTTGCCATGTCTGTTTCTCTAGATAAAAAAGAAATATCGTGAGCACTTGATTACATTGAAAAAAAAACTAATGTTGTCAGTTATTTATTATATTTTTCAAAAATCAGTGACAATCAATATGCAAGATTAATATAGTACCCAAAAATCGCAAGATCACTTCATGCATATAGATGCTTAGAGAAAAGCATGGAAGCGTCTCCTTCAAAAGACAAAAACATGAGATTAGCTCATCGTGATGGTTTTAAGATGTAAAAATCAGCTATATCGAGAGCTATAACAGTGCAACATCCGACTTTATAAGAAAAGCTTCATTTTTGTGGCAACTTTTGGATTAAACTTACAAGAACAAGCAAATTTATCGCAAACTTATTCAATTGAGCGCAAAATCATTGTCGATGAATGTGTCGTCAGATTTTCTTGCGTCACAGGGTTTCAGTCCGTTTTCTTTTATAGCATTCTCCAGTGTTCCTAGCTGGTATTTCCAGAAACTAGTTAGGATCTTGCGCAGCGCATCAAAATACTGGTTGGTTATCTGTTGTGGAGGTCATTTCAAAATTACAGACTGGCTGAGGCCGGCTCAGACGATAAGTCTGTAACATTTTTTTCCTTGCGATATCACGTCCGAAGTTCCGAATTCTACAGCAGCATTTGTTCGGATAAGGATTGTTTGGTTGTTTTTAGCACAGGGCGTACCACAGAGATAATTGCATTTCGAAGCCTGCGAAACATTTGTTGACTCGAATTCAATATTCACTCTGGTTGTATAATCAGTGGGACATACAGTGGTGTAAACAGCCTTAACAAGTGTAAGCTTGCATAAAAGTTATGCTATAATATCCGCAAGAACTTGATGTAGCAGAAACAACTTCATTTTTGATTGCTGATAGTGGATAGGATGATTCTGTGGCCTTTATTCAATCTGCCCATCTCTCTTGTTGATAGCTACATCCATGAAAGGACGGGATAAGTAGTGGCTAGGGGTGAGAAAGGGGGGGGGGGGTGGGATTTACAATGGGTAATGGAGTCATTGTATCGATGCGAATGAGGTATTCAGCACGCAATTAGCAGCTATATATTGAAAAAAAATTCTGTTGGAGCCTTAATCCCTGAATATTTCTGAAGTATTTTCCAGTGAGGACAGCAACTCATGCATTTTTTTGATCCCAATAGGAAGGCGTATGCAATCACATTGATGGAGTTGTGACCCGATTTGAAGTCGTCATTTTCTTGTCATACTGCCTAGGTATAGCATTGTCGGGTTCTTCCATCCCTCTCTTTGGTCACAACTGGCAAGCCTTAGCCCAACTTTTATAGCTAGGCTGCTTTGTGGTTCGAATAGATATCCTTAGATCTTATGATTGCAAAAACAGATAGATACAGTTCCGAGTTTGGATGAGAAGCTGTCACACCAATGATATCACCTCGCTGCCGCTGATCTTGGCTTTTATCCTTTTGAAACATTGAATATCATGTTGGCTCCTCGTATGGTAGTTGTGTCAAAAGGTTAAGGAAAGCCTCTGTAATTCAGATTTCTCGACATGGGTTTCGACTCCGACAAACAGTGAGTGTGTTTTCCGGCAAATTTGTTTTTTTCAAGCTGTGGATGGATGTTTGGCGTGTACCGCCGTCTAATAGAGTGACTGAGTGGACATGAATCTCGGGTAGGAGACTCATAGTCTACATTCGTGTACATGTTTTCAATTGTGACCATCATCTTTCACACTTGCTTCCACCACTTGGTTCTCCGCGGGATTGAAGAAATTTAACCATCCCTTACTATGAGATATTGCGAGTGGTGTGAGGCGAGATATATTCACTGATATGGATCTTCTGTCAGCATAATAGGTCCATATTTTGGAGGATGTCGGATCCTCTGAGGGCATAACAGGTCCAGCAATTTTTTATTTAGGGCTGATAACGAACCATGAAGTCCATGTCCGCGCGAGGCAAGACAAACCCATATGCTTTTATTTTCCTGGTACTTTCCAAAGCTTTGATTGCCTGTTTTTGGACCATTTGGTGACTTAACCACTCGTCACCATTCAGCATGTGTAGTTTTAAATTTGGAAACAATTTTTATCTTGGGGTATAAAAATAACACATTTTGAGATATTATAAATTGAAAATGAACACGAAGAATAATATGGAAAATAATACTAGGACTGCGAAAAATGAATAGAAATGCCAGCTGCTTAAAGAACCGTAAGAATTAATATCAAAATTGCGTAACCATACGACTTTCATATTGAACAAAAGCTTTGATGCGAGATGAATAGAAGATGAATAAGCGCAAGGCGCAACGAGATGTTTTGTCTTTGCGTGGACAAAAATGTCAACATGAAACTTTGTGTTATGAGTAATGTTATACGATGCTGAGGAACCACTATACCACTACCTAAACTACCGAGAATGCCAATCTTCTCACTCAAGCACTGGAAATTTTAGAATGGGACTTCTGGATGAACACACTTTCGTAGAAAACCATTCAAAATTCGCATTCTTTGGACGGTATGCTAGTGATGAAAGGCTAATAGTGTACGATTATTGTTGTACTGGTAACACCAATCAATATACTATTAGGTTGTCCGGAAGTTAAAGGCAGCGTCCATGCAGATCTGAACCTATGGGGCTTTTGCGTGGAAAGTACTTTTGGGGCCCTAACTAAGGCACTGCCCAAGCGGCAGCTTAGGTAGTGCTGTAATGGCTGAGATATTTCCTTCGAAACTGGACCCCACTACCGTATTTCGCATGGATTCACGGCGCAAAGCGTGGATCCTGGCGCGAAACTGCCATGAATCCATGCGAATACGTTCGCGAGGGCCAGTTTCGAGGGGAATATCTCAGCCTTAGAGCACTACCTGAGCTGCCGCTTGGGCAGTGCCTTAGTTAGGGCCCCAAAAGTACTTTCCACGTAAAAGCCCCATAGGTCCAGATCTGCCTGGACGCTGCCTTTAATGCAGGTTTTGCATATTCTCACTTCAAAGCGTCATAACTCCTTTGAAATCGCATATTATGAAATGAGGTTAAAACTATTGTGATCAGCAAGTCTTTCTCTACCTGCGACATTTTCTTTTCAACTGGATCTCCAACAAGAAAATTACTGAAAGCCAGAAAGTAAGAAGAAATTTCTATGACAAGGTCATATTTGGCAAGTTGTAAACTCCTACCGAATATGAGTTTTCAGCCAAAACTTCTGCAGTTTATAGCCACAAACCAGTACTACATATATAGCAATGCAGAAATTTTTTTAGAAATTTTCTGCGAAAAAATTTGCGGAATCATAGGTGCGATGGAGTGATCGGGGTCCCTCGAAAGTGAAGGGTGTCCCAGCTGATTTTGACCCCTAAAAGTGAAGGGTGTCTGGAAAGTGCCGGCGTCGACCGGGGGGGGGGGGTTGAAAAAATGGTGAAAATTATAAAATTATCCAGTTTGAATGGTCAAATTCTCTAAATTGGATTTGTATGAAATATAATTAGTGAAATGTTTATAAGTACTTTGTTTTGAATTTATATAAATATTATTTCATTTTTATACACCATTTTTCGATGAGAAGATGCATGTTTAGGTGGGTGGAACGTGTAATATTGTAAATGTGATTTCGACCGAAAATTACAATGGACAGTGGCGCATACTCGAGGCTTGGAAGGTGCTGCATGAAGTTTTACTGGAACGTACAAATGTGGATAATATTAATAAGAGACTCCGCGATGATTAGGAAATATTGTCGCAAATAAATCCGTAGGTCGGTATCTATGGAGTACAAGAAAAAGTGTTGCTCAGTTGTGTCCACTTGAAGCAGAATAAACATACACAGTGTAGCACAGTGATAAGAGTAGTATAACTGATGTCAGGAGAAATTCCTAGGGCAGTAAAGTTGAAGCTACGATGTTGACGATATTTGAGCAAGGTCACTTTTTCTAACTTGTGTAACTTGCAGTAGATCGCTCTCCAGTATAACTCTTGTATAAATGGGCTAAAGCCAATCTTGAGCTAGATTCGGATTCTGGCCTTCAAAAGCTATACAACGATATATAATTTGTGAGGTTCAATATCTTTGCCAGGTGAGATAGTTTCCAGAGGTGTCCAACAGTACCCCCCCCCCCCTTCCAGGTCAGAGCCCCACATCTCCACGGTGGGGGCATTTCATGATTTAATTTTTTGCATCTTCAAAAGGGAGGTCCATTTAGTATTACCTATACCCTCGCAAAAAGATTCCACGGGAGCGACTGACTTAAATTCCAAATTTACCTGTGTTTTTCAAGCGCCTTTTACTCCTTGCTGTAACTCTCCTTCAGTATATCCGATCTTTCTGCGAGGGTATAGGTAAGACTCAGTAAACCTTCCTCTGTAAGATACAGAAAAAACTGAAGTATGAAATGCCCCCATCCCCGAGATATGAAGCTGCAAAAAAACCTATCAAAAATCGATTTTTCAAATATAACTTTTACATAAGTAAATAAATCAAAATGGGAATAGTATAGATGGATTCGTCTCCTCAAGAGCTTTCGAATGATATAAAACATGAAAGGGTTTGATGCTTCCGGGTTGCGGGAGGGGGGGTGATCGGTCTCAGTTCAGGGTGATCACCTGCCGGCGCCTCTCCAGTGCATTAAGGTGGCGGGGGGTGATCACCCTGAACTGAGGGCGATCACCCCCCCCCCCCCTCGCAGGGCTTAAAAAACATAGTATCCCCACATGCTATATATCAATCGAGAGCTCTTGATGAGTAGAATCTACCTATACCCTTCCCACTCAATTTCGTTCATATGTACACAAGTTATTTGCGAAAAATCGATTTTTGAAGGCGTGATTTCTGCTCTATTTGCGACTTCATAACTTTAAGAGAAATACTTTTTAGGATCTACTTTTTTTCGTGATAGAGTAAAGGTTCCTCATTAACGCCTATACTCTCGCAGGATGACATTCTGCAACTTACTTAAGTTATAATGACTCAAAAACTGACTTTTCTTAAATATGGCCAACATTGTGACTGCAACTGTACTGCCCTAAAAATTTCTCCTGACATCGTTTGTACGATTTTTATCATTGTTCTGGACTCTATATCCTTATCATGCTTTAAGCGAACACAAATGAACAACAAATTCTTTTACTGTACTACATAAATACCGACATAAAAATTTATTTGCAAAAAAAATAAAAATTAATGATCAATGCAAGGTCTTTTATTAACATCATTCACATCAATATTCTCCAGGTAAATCTGTCAGGCTTTCACCTTTCAGGCCTCATAAATGACATTGTCCGCTGCCCATGTTATTGTCGGTCGAAATCATTTTTATAAGATTCTGCCTTCGATCCTTCTAAAAATGCATTTGTTCGTTGATATTTTTGTAATTGTGCAGTAATTCCTCACCTTCAAAAAAATTTTTCGTCCGTCAGGTGAAGGGGGGGGGGGGTGGTCCGACCTCCAAAGTGAAGGGAGGGTGAGCATCAAAATTTTCCATTTTTTTGATATTTTCTACAAGGCTGCGATCACCGATAATTTTGATTTTTTTATCAACTCACCAAACTGGGAGGTACCACTTGAGATAATATCTGACGGCACTGGCCTCACTCTTCAAGCACGAGGAAAGACTTTCACGGTTGCCTTCTTTAGAAAAGTTTTCTACGCCATGGAGTGGTCGCGACAATTATTCATGTTAGAGTCTCAGTTCCTCTACTCTCACAATTGTTCAAGTGAAGCGCTACTATCTATTTTGTAGGTTCACTCAATATCTTGCTTCAGCTATTTTATCATGGAAATACCCCTCGAATAGGTTCGCCAAAATAGTGCAAAGAGTAAATTTAGTAATTTAAAGCTTCATCTTCGGATGGTTGTAGATTAACAAATAAAGTTGGTCCTAGAAGTAATATATATATAAGAGAGAGCATGAAGAGTGGCTTCTTTTAGCATGCGAAATTGGAAGAAAGATGCACATACACAGAAGAACGATTCTTTTGAATTTGCATTTGCAGAAACCTGCATTAATTTCCGGACAACCAATAGTAGCAGTTTATGTTCAGCTTTGTTAGTGTCTTATAGTTATCTGCGTACTAACTCCGAGAAGTAACAAAGGAGGAACGGTGATCTGCTCTTTACTGTAAATCTCAGTTTGAGCTAGCTCCAAGTAACGACTGAAGATTGGCAAAAGACATTTCGGGCAAACAAGATACCCCAAATTCAATTTGGACATTTCTTAGGACACCATATATCATGTAGTAGATACCTAGGGATGGGAGGAGAGAAGAAAATCTAGATATTCGTAACATCTAATCTCCATACTTTCTTTAACAACAATTGGACCATAATTCCACTGTAAGACACTATGTTCCATACCTCCCTACGCAGGAGAACTATGGCTTGATGCATAGTAACCATACAACAAGGAGGTAAAGCAACCATTAGAAGAACTACATCCGGATTTCTAAAAAGGGTGGGCATGTCGGATACCACAGTTTCTTGGGCTAGCAGTTTAGATCAAAAATAAAAAAGTAAAAATGAAAAACAAGCAGAAGTGGTTTTCATGTACTTTGGATTAAATTTCCTGTTCTACGATACAGTGACTTCTGCGTAGTTTTCAAATGGGCATTAGTTTTTCCGCTTAAGGCCTGAACGATTTCCCAACTCCTTGAAGTGATTCTGAACGTAAATCCTGCTGTACTTCGTTTGAAATGGGATACTGTAATTGCATTCGTAACGGATATGGTTTCGATACAAAACTAGCAGTCCTCGAGTTCGATGACAATGCGTACATCGGTATGTTGATGATGTCCAAGTGTGGTTTTTGACGTCAAAAAATGATTTGTGGTTGATGAGGCAAATACACCTTGTTATCACAAAGCTGTTTCCGTTTCTGTGATGACAAGGGTCAAACGTTTCCAGCATCGAGTAGTAGAAAGCAGGTATGTGTGCTAAACATTTGTAGATAAGTTTCTATTCGTCATGATGAGAATTATATCTGATCATGCATTAAAGTGGTGGTAGAAAGCCTAATGAGTGTCTAAGGATACGTCGAGCCATTCTATAATTTCGTCGAGGAATTGTAAGTGGCGAAGAAACACCTGTTTGCATTTGATCTAACAATTGTTTGAAGTGTATGGGATGATTTTGTCTGCCTTCAGTAAGGATCGCCATATCTCTTGTTGAAAGCTTCATTCAACCAAATGGAATAGTGTAATTGGAGCACCTCCATGAGGCAAATAGAGTTATTGTATCGAAAAGGTAAGCATGCACTTGACATGGATGATAAGATAAACCTGGATAAATTTGATGGACACGTGTTCTTCCGAATATCTCCGTGGAGTACTTCCCTTCAGAATTTGCCATACCAAATATTTCAAATTCTTTGCCTAGATTTGAAAATATGTAACCGTCGCGGAAGTGTAGCTTATTTTATAGTTTTCTGCTTCTTGTCATACTCCCGATGTACGGCATGATCGGTCCTCTCTTACAGAGCACTATGATCGGATGGTCCTTGATTGGTGTTAACTTAAGATGTTCACTCCTCACGATCTTTCATCCTCGAACATGTATGACAACTAGATAAGAATTGAAATGTCAATAAAAATAAAAGACAGACAATTACAAATATGAAAGGCACATAAGCATAAAGCCCTTGAAGGCCCCAGTGCTGCATACGCCATGGCATTTATATGGTGTTTGGCTTATCACTGGTCCTTCAGGATGGACACGTAGGTTCTACAGGACTGTAGTACGCAAGCGAACATGTGTTGGTCAACACCGCATGAGAAATAGGATGAGGTGATACATCTCCATCACTTGCGTAAGTACAGTCTAGACGGTAGTAAAACATTCTTTTCTGTTAGATGATTTCCAGTCTTCGACTCCGTCGACATTTTCTGGACGAATTCAAGAAGTGATTGCTTGCTTCTTCGCAAAAGGGGCCCTTGACTACATTGACCCCTAAGTTGATACGTCCTATTTTGGAGGGGGCTCGCAAAGTCTGTCGGATTTCAGTGTTTTAGCTAAGGGCTCTTTATACAGCCTAATCTGAGGTGGCATGGAAGCTCCTTTGAATTCTTCGATCACTGAGCGTCTTTCTTTCGGTTTGTTTATTTTTTTTTCAAATTTCTCCTTTTTCGAGCACGGCCTTTTCTAGACACTTCTCTCAACATCTGAGTCCAGTTGTAATCACTTCATGTCGCTAAAGGGCTCATAGTTTTTTGTTTACATAATTCTAGTAGCTATTTATTGACTTCAACACTCGCTTTCGCTGTTCCATGGCTGTCTAGAATGATGTATATCAAGGGAAGTGAGGTTTTCTGCCAGCATAACAGCCTGAGATTTTTTCATTTGAGGGCAAGAACGGGCCACAAAATTAGAACTGTCAAGGATTCTGAGATAGTTTCATAAATTTTATCTTCTGTATGCCTAGCAACATTCGATTGTTGCTTTATTCAAGTGTTTTTGTTTCATTGTTCAAACTAGGTTTTACATGTATCGCATGGAGCCGAACTGGGATTAAACTTCAGCTTGGAATATGATAATAACACAATCGAGGTGCTACTAGAGAGATAGGATGGACAAGAAAATTACTAATGAGATAAAGCCAGAAATGCGAATAACAATGATTACGTGGTAGAATTGCGTCACTGAACGGTTTTCATAATCAAGAAGTGTGCTGTGCGAGGATAAATAAAACATGAGTAAGCGCACATGACAAGGAGATGTCTTGTCTTTGCATCAACAAAAGCGACAGCATACAGCTTTGCTTTGCAGACAATATTATAGAAAAAGAGAAAGATCCAATAAAATCAGTAAAAACACTTGAACTACCCACTGTGCCATTCTCCTCACTCTACACTATATACTCTCGAATAAACACAATGTGAGCGTGACTGAGATGGTTAGAAGAAGTTCTTCTAATCGTGAATATATACTTTAGGCCTTTGCACCCCATACTGTTGATGTGGTGAAGCCTACGTTTCGCGTTTTTTACAAACTTCTAATGTGCTATTGGTCGCACTTAAAAGCAATAAACATTACATCAAAAGCCATTGCTGTGGAAACATATCATTTGCAGAAGAGGCGTCAGCAGTTGAAAACAAGTGTTGTTTGCTCAATATACTTTGTGTGGTGATCTAAGGGCAATAAAGTGCCTGCCATTATATGAGAGAGCACTCACGTATGTGAAAGTAACAATACTCTTGTAAAGAACTCTAACAAAGGAAGGTATGTTGGTCAGAGTGGACTTTTAGGATAAGATGTAAACTGTCTTATAAAGCTTGGAACCAGGGTCAAGCGTGTTGATGCGATCCTAGACCCTCTTTTACGACCCCCCCACATACCTTTCCACCATCTAACCCCCCCCCCCCCCACCCGCAACCATTAACAACCAAGAAAATTCAGCACGGGAACGGTACACTTCAGTCATTATCATGACTATTTAATAATAAATCATTTTCTAGTAACAGATAATAAACTCTTCTGCCGTTTATAATTCGGCATAATTCATTCATGTTCAAGTGGTATCGAAAGATATTGACAATGGTTCTGAAAATTAGAACATTTTAGACTGTAATGTCTTGTGTTTCGCCCTCGTAAGCGACCCTATTTTTTACACGGAGGAAAAAAGATATCTTTGAAGCGTAAAATATGTTTTCGACTAAAAAGATTATTTTCTACATTTTGCACATATTTTTCTGTAAAAAAAAACCGTTTTAGCGCCATCCAAAACGATGCCAAAAACGTGCATGAGCACGGTATTTTAAAAATTCGTAAATAAAGTCAGGAAAAGATTAAGAGGCTCCAATAAACAGGTTTTGAGTTTAGTGCCCAGACAACTGAAGGTAAAAGTTGCAGCCACACAGGAGCAGTAGGCTCGAAAAGATTTAGATGCGACTCTAGCAAATTTAAATGCGATCCTAGAAGCCAAAAACTGAGATTTTTAAACTCAAAACTCCTTAACTCACTGGAGACGCAACGAAACAGTCCGAAATTAGGAGAGAAAGTAGGAGGATGGCGTCGTATTACAGCGAAATTGCAGCATGCAGGCCTCCACAGCGGCGAAAAAATCTAGATGCGACCCAGATGCGATCCCGCTTTTTTCATTTTTGTTGCCATATATAAAATTTTAATAAACCCACAGACTATGAAATATAACCTAATTTTGTACAACTGTAGCAGAGTATCTCCAAAGTATAGATAAATTGTGTGGGCCCTTAAAAGACATACCAAAAAAATTTTAAAAATTTTCGATGGTCATCGCTGGTAGAGATGAGCGATTTTGTCGAGAGTGTGAGACTTCAGTGATGCTTCGGAACCAGGATTTTTAGGCCAATTGGTACATTTAGCATTCTCGTCCCGGTGTGGCTAATAATCTGGAAATTGTACTCTTACCATTCGTTAATATAGATTAGCACAGTGAAGGGCTAGATGTAGTGGGCAACTTGAACAACAAACATCGATATTTGCAGATATTGCAATCAAAAATGTGACGTTGTCCTGTAGTTTTTCGATTGCACAAAAATGTCGAATAATCGAAAAACTATTGAAAGTAGATATTCAATTGTTCGAATATTTTTGAAAATCAAAATTTTTGTATAGACGAATAACCGAAATTCGGAAATTGACGAATTCCGAATAAGCGAACAACAAGTATATTCGAGGTTTCGAAATTTTCGAAGAATCGAACTTCGATTAAATTTTATTCGAATACTCAAATATTTATTTGATTCGATTCAAATGTTGCATATGCTGTGGCTAAGGCAAAAGGTTTTCTCCTTTCTGTCATACATTGGTAACTCTACCAGCTCTCAAGAGAGTCTCGTACATGATATATAGTTACTTCGTGGAATAACAGTGACTGTCAAGACATCATGGAAGGCATAAAACTCACTTTGTCATCCGTTTATGGCAATTAATGATGTGAATCAAACCACTGGCCAAATATGAAGTATGCATGACGTGTGATTGCACTCGACGAATGAAGCGCAGTGCTTTTTTCAGCGTCTGACTACTTCTCTACTGCTGATCTATTCCGTCTCAGTGGATCTAGTTTGTTTAGAAAAAAGGTGAGTACCTCTACGACTTCACAGTTTGCATTTTTTTAAAGACATCAGACAGCGATGACTAAGTCAATCGATCAATCGATTCTTACGCACTAACCAATTGGAAAAGATACCGCTCATATATATTATATAAGCGTTTGCATGGATAAGTTGACAACCAATTTGGCTTCATTTGGGAGTTTTGCGTTCTGTCGCCGTTTTCACAGCAGCATTTTTGATGTCAATTTTACTGCTCTTGCACTTTTGGGAATTCGTGTTATCTGTAGGGTTTTCTTTGCACTTTTCCAGATTTGTGCACAGATGACAGTATGATTCATGTGTTAATTTTTGCAAAAACAGATACTGCTTACAAAGCACTGACATTCGCACCATCATTATTCACTCTTTCACAAACAAAGTCTTCATCGTAGATGTTCATAGCTTCGTGAAAGAACGTTGGGAATGGACACATGGTGAATCCATCTGTACACAAATGCTCACTCATTTTCGATGATGGTAAACAATGTTCGTTAGAATATAAGCTCTGCGCATCAAGACAGCTAACACGCCAAGAATCTCCCTTTCTAATTTCAAAGGCACCGTCCACCCAAAATTTCGATCTCCATGTTTCTGCCGTTCCAGGGCCTTTTTATATCCCTGATCCCGAATATCAAGTCGGAAATTTGCGAGAACCACAAAAAACCCCCGTTTTCAAAACGCGCAGAGCTATTTCTTCGAAACGGTTGATTGGTTGGGCGTGCACGGATGGGCGGGACGAACGCCCACTCAAAGGGAAGGAGCCAACGTGGCGAATCTGTCATCCGAGCGATTTTTGAAGCAACTTTCTCGCTTCGAAAGCAAGTTCTGGCAGCGCGAGTTGGATAAGTACACAGTTAGGTTCCCCACCACTATTAGGCATGAACCACCTCATCAACCCCATTTTGGTTGGACGGTGCCTTTAAGAAAGCAATTGTTTAGTTTGTGTCACAAATCTGGGCTAAAATTCTTTCCCGCACATTGGCCAAGCCGATCAGTTTCTGAATTTTTTTGATTACAAGTGAATGGTGATAAACTTGCTTTCAGAACTTTGCAAAGGATACTCACGGCAATGCTTTTGTGTACTGCTTTCAGGCGACTCTTTTAATGAAAAAAATGTCCGTCGAGGAGATTTATGGCAATATTGCAAACCGTCGAGCCTCAAAAATCACTATTTAATCATCCCTTTTATCTCGTCCAATTCCGCTTCTGTGCGGCATGTCCACAAGAAACTGACTAGTATTGCTAATGTCTGCTGCGGTCAAAAACAACCCAATTATGAACGGTCTTTAGCTTTGCAGAGTCAAGGGAAAATGTTAGCAACCGAGAACGTTTTTTTTTTGTGTAGCAGCAATCAAACGCAAGCTTTGTCTGCTTTTTTCCTGGAAAGGCAACTACCGATACTCTTTCTTTGAGAACAAAGCTGATGAATTTACCATTGAGCCACTCATAAAGCGAAGTAGTTGATGAGAGGGTTGTGTAAATTGTGCATTTACGAGGTTCTATTTTTGACATAATTCTGCGACATTGTCTCTTACAAATTCCTTGATTACGTAGCAGAAAAACAGGTTACATCCTCGTAAAATTCTTTGCATTAAGAAGATCATTTGTTTTAGCGTCAAGTTGTGTTAAAAGAGTTTCGTTTGTTCGTCACCGTTCTATGTACCGCCTTGCTTTCTCAGAATATTTTTTTCAGAAACTTTACGTCGGTGCGACAAGAATGAGAATTTTTAACCTCACTTTCTTGTTACTTAGCATCTTAGTGGTATGTTGACGAAGCCATACATGACTTAGTTTGCAATTTTAATCTTTAGACTCCCCGGCTGTATGTTATTTTATTGCTTACAGATTTTCTCTGCTGTGAACGTTGCTGAATGCGGACTTGGAAAAAAATTGAAGAAGCTTGCAAAAAAAGTTTTCAAGTACATTCCTGGTCACAAGATAACGTATACGAAACAATTTTGATGAACTGGATGTCATTTTCACAATATTAAATATTATATTTCCAACACGAATATGAATACTTCTACCTACATTTCTTCTCTCAGTGTATTATTGCTATAAAGACAAAATGAGCACAACATACCTAAGTAACACTGCTTTCCTCTCCCATACGTTAAATACTGGAGAAAATTTGTTCTGCATAAATGAGTAAAAGTAATGAAATAAGAAGGAACTGAGGTGATTCGCACTAAAAACTCAAAAAATTCAAAATTGTGTGACATATTCGTAATTCACAGCAGCAAATAGAAACTGCAACATATGAGGTCAATCTTTTACAACCCGCGCGCAGAATTTTTTGTTGCTTTTACATTTTTTTCATTTCCAGTGTGAGCTTCTAATGAATGCATGATGGCGCATAACTTATCAAATATTCGAAAATGGCTAATAAAGGAAAGCAAACTTATTGTGGCAATTACAGCAATTTTTGAGCACGAGGACAATGGAGGCTTTTCGGTTTCAATTTGAAATTACATAAAAAAGCGTATACCATAAGTATACCATATATACCATATACCATATACTATACCGTATATCATGTTCATGTGGGTGGAGGACCTTATGCCGCCGAATCTGGGTGAATCCCGCGCGGAGTTCTTGCAAAAACGCACCTCCATACATGTGCTAAAATACAATTGTTGCAGATGACGCGGGGCCGCCCCGCGACGTATGGTTCTCTACCCGGTTCATGTGAGTATGAAACACGCATTTTTACAGGACGAGAACAACTATCTATCCAATACATCTTGCACGGAAAGTTCGAGCAATGAAAGTGCTTTTGAATAAGAAGTTTGCACCTCACTCGCTAATATTTCTAACATTTTAATCTTCGAATCAAGATTGATTGTGGAAGTAGGAAGTTATCATTGAACTACAAGATTCTGACATGAGCAGCATTATTGAAGAAAAATTTTGTATGATTACGTCTGATATTACGGCAACATTCAAAAGAATTGGTATGGCCCGTAGTAAACCCTCCGTTAGGGCATCTCTCTCGACGCGGACCGGCGTTGATCTCATCACGCCTCAGTCTAGCATCCGGCGAGCCATTGATCTGGATGCGGATCGCTTCCGAGACATTACAGTCAAGTGCGTTCTTGAAAAAGGAACCATTTGAGCTGGTTTGCTCAAACGGCTAAGCGGTTGGAATTACACGCGCGCGGCCGTGGTTCGAGTCCGACTAGCGACCCACATTTTGATGCATCGCTGGGCAATCTTTGATAGCGGCCACTGCGCAATCGATGATGACCGCTATCAAGGATTTCGCCTAGCAAATGCACGGATAAAACAAAAACACAATTTGCGACGAAAATTTTATGAAAAAACGAATTGGTTGCAGCTTGAATTTAATGAAATGAATAAATGAGTTCCTGTTTTGGACAGCTAGTGAAAAAAAACCGGTAAGGTTTACAAAAAAGAGAAGAATTTGTTTTTTCGTTATCCTCGCCAAAATCAGCTGTTCATCGATCCTCTCCTTTTCGGGCGCGGTTGTGCAGTTTTGCGCCGATTTTGTCTGCATTTTTGGCCTGACTGATGTGTATCGTAAGTTACTCAGGAGCAACTTAAGGGAGTCTTGTCTGCGTCTCCTCTTTTACACACTATTTGCATCACTCTAACATCAGTTCACGTTCAGGTCATTTGAACGTGAACTGATGTGGAAAAGTTGACTGCAGCAGGTGGACAGATGGTCAACTATCAGTTCACTCGCCATTCTTATAGCATGGGAGGGTGGGCGGTCATCAGTTTACCTGACTTGAGGTGAACTGATGGGATAAGTTCAGTTCACCTGAACTGATCGAGCTTTACTAGAGGCCTATGGTTTGGTTCAGTATGAATACGATAAGGATGTATAAACAGCGACAGTCGAGATCACCTTTCACAGAGAAAAAAGGAAGAATTTCACTAAAGCACCCCTTTTTGCAGGATTAGAACCATTTAGTTTCATTGAAAGCAGCATTTCTCAGCTTGTGCGAAGTACGAAGCGCGATTTAGAGTCTAAGCGTTGTCTTGGAGCTCTGAAGTCCCACACCCTCTCGCGCTTGCAAAATTACTATGACTATGGTAATACCCAACGCAAACGGAAAGATCAACCATTTAAATTGCGTCCATCCAGCAACTCACTCCGCAGGGTGGGAGTCTCAAATGGTACAATTTTGGCAGTAACTTACAAGGTGCACCAAACTTGTTCTCATTTATGGGATTGACTTAATAAGTAGTCAGGAAGGTTGAGAAATGAACTGAAAAAGTAAGCTTTTAGGTTGCAGAAGCGTACATAAGTCAAACTGTTGGACATGTAAAAGTGCTGTAGTGTGCAAATACCGGTACATAGTTCAGATCTGCTTCTGTGCTTGATCGGTTTAAACACCTTCACTTGACCTCATTCCCTTCTAGATCAAGGAAACATAGTCTAGTAATTTTGATGAGAAGTTAGAACTTTCACAGCGGAAACTAACGTGTATGTCAAAAGGCCCCCTTTCTGGCGATCGTCCAGAAGTACAAGGTTTGAGGCTCAAAACTTCTTTACTCTATGAAGCAGGGAATAGAAGCGTAAATATATTTTGGACTCTGCAGAGCGAAATAAGTCTAACAAGGGAAGCTTTTTTAGTCGAAGTGACCTTTCTAAACGAGATGTGTACCATATTACAGGACATAAAACGCTGATTTCAAGTTTGCCTTCCTTTGCAGAACGTTTATGTGTGAGGAGTTGTGAGCATTTTTTGAAGCCAAAAATTGATTGTGCATTTGGGATAAAATGAGTTACAAAATCTTACCATCCCTCAAATAATGCAATCAAGTGTGATATATTTTTATTTTAGGGTATTGTTGAATAAAGTGCTCTGACGGTTATCACTGCTCCATTGAAGAGCTAGGAATGGTATTACGGCTATTTTTGTCCTACTTGCACATTCAATTTTTTGCTCCAATAAGCGCTCATAACCGTCCATAGAAGTTTTGCAGAAAAGGAAGGCAGATTTGAAATCAGCATTTCATGCCCTTTAATAGTATACATCCCATGTAAAAACGCCACTTCGACTAAACATGCATTCCTTGTGAGTGTGGTAAGGCCAGCAAATCGAGCATCTTCAAAAATACATTTAACTGCAATATGTCATTGTCTCACTCAGGTTCTCGATACAGTGCTTCTACTATGATAATCTATTATGTCAAGTGATGGCATTAGGTATTCTACTAGTTTTCCTGGCATTTTTGAGGCTTTCTGTAGCATTTCTTTAAGTTGTCTTTCTTTGCTCATAGCGAAGATTAGGAGCTTTTGACTGCCTTCCAGTGTTGAACATCTTCGAAAGGAAGCCAGTGTCGCAAATTCATCTCTCCTAAACAAGTTTCACATTAAAATAAAAAGCGCTATTGCTGAGTTTCCATCGCTTGGAAAAATTGAGCTTTGCACAGTCGCCATTGTGTATGGATCTAAAGCCACTCATATGTATCATTATTGACATAGGCCACTGCTTTAGACGGCTCACGCCCAAATGCTGTTGCCACCGCAGCTGCATATTTGAACCGCCAATTCTGCGAGCATACTACAAAGTAAAGAATCAGCCACACCATCGGCTATATTGTGCAAATGATCACTTGCAATACTTCTGTTGTAGTTTTATAACAAAGTTAATGAAGCTGCGTTCGAGGTTGCCTCTGCCAGCCCCGATTCGCAGCGCCGAAATATCTATGGATCAATAAGGGGCGTACCCACGTAAGCTCTAGCATGCTCCAGCACGGTGCTAGCACGTTGCTATTGGCACAGTACTGGTACGGCGCTGACACGTCGCTGGCACGTGAAAACTTATAATGCTGCCTAATAACTGTAGTTTTGAAACAGCGTTATTTCAAATTTGGCTGCAAGACCTCGAAAAGGTGCGAAAAGTGCGTCCGCCCAAGAATCTCAATGCAGTCAGTTGCTGCTGTAGCCGTCGCTCAAACTCAGATTATAGACTGCTTTACTGCTCATTAACAACTTCCTTCTAAATATGTGGATGAATCCCTACGTAAATCAAATAAAGTTTGCTAGCTCTTCAAATGATCAACCAAAACTATTAGGTTAAGTCTTTTCATATTCAAACCTTCAATTCGATATTTCTCAAGAACTGGGGCACCTAGTAGGCTGCAAATTTGTGACAGTAATTGTGATTAAATAAGCTATATAATTATCTATCTGCTGGGAATACAGAACTGATACAGGCAAAGTTTGTAAACTGAGCGCATCATGTTCTTCTTGGTTTCTAGCTGTCAGAAAAATGCAGCAAGTGCACGTGTAAATATCTGATGAGTAAAGTATATGCATGAAAAAGTGGGAGATTTGCAGAGTTGTTCTGAACTGAGATATGATGATTTTCGTTTTTTTTTTTTGAAAATTCGGAAATTTCTTTAGTTTGACTTAAAACTTGTTGCGGATCAGGCTTGGTGAGAATTTTGAAAGCCAACTTGTAGAACATGCATTGATCTGTCGGATGGTATCCGGCTTTTAGCGTGAGTTCAAGAAGAACTGATTTATATCGCTGAAAAGTCAGGTATGAAAAGACTTATGGGACAACCCTAATAGATTTATGACTTGTATTTGAAAATAGAATAAAAAGGATTCAAGATAGTTACTCAGAAGTTATCGTTTGACTAATCTCGTGAAACCGACCATCATACATGGCACTTCAAAGTTCGTGATTTTGAATTTGGTCCCAAGAAATACTAATAACTAATAAATACGGATAAGAGATACTTGCATCTTATGACTTTGAATTTCACTAATTTGGAGTTTTGCGTAAACCACCAATTCTTCTCACAATATATTCGATGCAGATGCTGATGATGGAAGAATCATTAGTGTTTAGATGTCTTTAATCCCCAAGTAAGTGCGGAGAAAAATATGCCCCGTCTTTATAGAGTTTATTTTCGGATTACTACAAAATCTCAAAAATTGGAGACACATGAGATTATAATATAGGTTCAAAGTGACTATTCAAAGGTATAAACATTATTGCGTCGTGTCATAACGTTCATGATATATAATGTTGCAGGGTTTCT